CGAAACTGCACTCGCAGACCCAAATTTGCCAGTTTTATCAGCGCGGCTTCATGTCCAAGGAGAACGTGAAGAAATGCATCGAAGTTCTGTCCAAACAGTGTGATAATATTGTTCCGATTGTACAGAAATGCTTAGTTAAGAGGATTGTGCACGATATTAAAGGAGATCAATGATTTGTAGGGTTTTTAGGTCCCTTCTACTTTTTGCCAAGCGGTTATTTGCATTGATTCAACGGAAAGCTTCCAATTTGCTTTATAAGTAATTCGAGGCAAAATTCGTGCTTTGCTTGAAGAAGTACGACAACTGAGGAGGATTATCTGGCGATTATACAAGCGTATTCGCCATAAAAGATTACTAATGAGCACTTCTAGCTCGCAATATCGATTGTTTTTTAGGTAGAAGACCTTATCAGTTTTGGCAAGCAAACACTTTTCCATCTATCCACGTTCCACATACGTGCACTGTAATTTCAAACTTGGCACTTAGTTTGCTTATTTTTAATCACATTCTGGTGCTGAGTAAGCAACCGAAGTTGCTCAAGCCTCCCAATGGAAATCCTTATTATCCGGACTACAAGGACAGCCTTAATAACTCGACGTCGATTTTTTCTTTGGAAAATTGCACACGATGTGTATTTGCCCAGGCATTGTGTTCGAAAGATAATCGGAGGGATCGGGGCCCGCTTCAAAGGCAGCCCTCAGATTACAATCAGGATGCTGCTGCTGACGATGGCATTTCGATATTCACGACGATAGGAATAATTGTACGGGGTGCGTCTCTAAGCACGATTTTTATATGGAATTAAGGCGGAACGTGTGTAAAGCGCTCCATTGGAAATGGTTGCCCCTAAAATTATGAAAGTGGGAACGCAGCAGGTCATTTTACATATAATAGCGCAGTGTTGCTTTAAGTTTCAAATTGAAAAATGGAAAGATGCGATTTTTTAAAGCAGAGACCGCAGTTTGCTCAAAACACCCAATATTAGACCGATATTTACCGAGCTGGCATAAATATGAGTTCTGGGTTATTTTGATGAAACTTTCAGCGTTTTTCGAGTCAAGTGTCTTGTTTGGACGATTCGAATTTATTAAGGAGAGACCGCAGTTGAGTCGCAGCGCCTATTATTAGACTGATATTGAATAAGCCGGCAAAAATCAGGATTTTGTTTTATTTTGATGACACTTCCGGAGTCCTTCTAGACAACAATTTTCTGCTGAACGTGCAAATTATAAAATGTTTTTGCGTTCGTTTGGAAGATTCGATTTTGTAAAAATAGAACGCAGTTGACTAGAAACACTCATTAACAAGCCGATATTTACCACTGGCAAAAATGCTGCGTGAAAAGTGAAAAGAACCCGAAATATAAATAGGTATTTTCCGATMGATTTCGGAAATGAAAATTCGTGGGTAGTTTAGCAATGGCATCTTCTACATGGTAAATTAATCTAAAATTGTGTGGTTTCGTAGCRTCTTAGTAATAGATCGTTAAGCCATAACTTTTTATGGGAAGTATTGTTGAATTCGGTTTCAATTCAATAAACTATTGCATTTTTACTTTAGMTTTTCATAATTAAGAAGCAATAGGTATTTACGTATGCTAACGAGGCAGATTACCTTGGAAAACACTGTAGCAAAATGCTGATTYAGTTTTTGGCAAATATCTCAGTTTTTGATAASCATTAATTTTTGAAACTACAGTAAAGTCCGCTTATAATGAACCCGGTTATAGTRAACCTTTCGGTTAAAACGAWYTTTTTTCCTTTAATTGAAASGTCGTCCATAAMGACCAACGTATTTTTTACTGGTTATAACGAACCTGTTTATCACGAACTTCCGGATATAACGATCACTTTTTTTTAGGTTTTTTGGTTAGTTTTAGGTTAGTYGTATATTCACTTTCCGTTTATAACGAACTTCCACGCTCAGCAACACCAATCGTGCGGAATTGTTTATATTAGTGAGAGCGAGAGACAGGCAGTGACTTGTTGTTTTTTGCTGCGTGATGTATGTAAATCGTTTTAGAATGAAAAAACAAAAACGCAAAGCTTTTTCACTAAATGAAAAGTACGAGATTATTAACAAAATAAGAAGTGGAGTAAAGCAGTACATTTGTAAAGAATTAGCACTTGGAAAGTCTACTCTTGCATCAATATGGAAAAACAGAGAAAACATTTTATCAGCGCATGACAAAACAAATGTTAGATGTAGGAAATTAAAATTATCTGCACATGAAAAGGTTGACAAGAGACTTATTAAGTGGTTTACTCAAAAACGACAAGAAAACGTTCCCATAAGTGGCAGTGTTTTGTTGTTCCCATAAGAGGCATAATATCAGTAGCGGAAAAATTGTTGGTGAGTCTGCCGGTAAAAAATTCTTCTTATGAAAACGTTAGAGGCGATCGATAAAAATGAAACAATTCTATAAATCTCTTAGATGCAGTCAATTTCATTCATAGAGCTTTGCAAAAAGTTAGCCGAAAAACCATTGCAATTTGCTTTAAGCATGAGGGATTTGTAAGAAAAGAAAATGATTATGAACCAGACGATGAAATTCCACTTAACGAATGGTTAGAAAAGTATAAAGACGAGTATGACACAGACGAAGATGTCCAAATGTTGTCGAAGAACAAGTTAAAACCAAATTGAGTGATTTCAATTTCTTCGAATATGTGAGCATTGATAATGGCATTCTTACAAGAGAAATGTTGACCGATGAGCAAATTATAGACTCCGTAACCTCATCTACAGCTTTAAGCGATAATGAGAAAGATGACGATTAGGTAAAACGTATTCTACTGTAGACACTAATGCTGTTCCAAGCATTTCTGAAATGACAAAAAAGGTGTCAGAAACTGCGAATTTTCTATAATCACGCCAAGTTCCTAATCATATCTGGGAGTCCTTTTGTGATCTTGAAAACTACATAAATAACATCTACTTTTGCAGCAGAAATGTAAAAACAAAAATTACAGACTATGAAATAGATTTCAAATTGAATTTTGTTTATCTTTTTGTGTTCTTTTTTCTTATATCTACTAACTTTTACTACTCTATGTAAAAATAACGAAATAAAATACACCACGTGTTTTTGTATTATTATTCGCTTATAGCGAACTCCAGATGTAACGAACTAATTTTAGTTCATTTTTCAAGTTTGTTATATCCGGACTCAACTATATATTTGTTACTACCTACTAACGTGAGAATTCACCATTATTGAGAATACATAATGAAAGACTTTTAAGTTTTTCAATATTTTGAGTTCATCCACCTCTCTTAGTTCAAGGCAGATTCCATCCATTTCCGCTTCTAAATCACTGTAACTTTAAGATTCACTAATTTTCCACTTTTCCCAGAAGTTTTTCATAGAACATTTATCTGGTTTCTGGAGACCGATAAATTATACTGCGGCAGTTTGACAACTGAACGTCAGGCTATCAAATGTCAGAAAATTAGTGGGAAATTCAAAATCTAATTATATTAAATTATGCAATTATCCGTCTGAGTAGCATAAACTCTATATATACCATTTCCAGTACTCCCTAAAAACCCCCAGACAAATGACGTCAATTTTGAATCACCCTGTTCACACATCGCGAGTCCAACTACCGACGGTGGCGCCGCGAAACGTCAAATTACTCGTTGTCGAGTGACAGTTAAGACTTGTCAGACTTGTTTATTTATTGGAGTTGATGACATTTGTAACATAAAACTACCTACACACTTGTCGATCTGTTTCTATTTCTTTAAAAGCTTGCAAAAGTTGAGTAGAACAAACCAAAACAAATTACAATCAGATGTATCACCAATGTCAACAAAACAAGTGTCAAATTACTATTTTGAACTCGCGAAATGCGGTGATTATGGACCTCAAATCAACTTGACAGATTTCCGTGACAATCATGCCGATGTGACGTGACAAAACTGGTGACTTTTATGGCGACTTTTCACGTGATTATCACGTTTGCTGCTGTTTGGAGGAAGCAAATTGTGAATGCGTAGCTATGAAAAGAATGAAAACAAGGTCCGATGCAGGATAAATAGTCAAATCTCATCGAAAAACTCGTTCTTTCTAAAGGCTTAAATTTTTCAATTACACCAAAAACCATTCCAAAACTTGATTTTATTTCGAATATAGAAGAAACAACTCAAAATTTACCTGAAGAACAACAGGAAGAATTTCGTATAAGATCAAAAATAATTCTTGAAAAACCTTTCAAAATTAAAC